TTCATATCAGCTTTTGAGTAATTTGTTAACAAGGACCTGGCAACTGCATAAGGCCCCAATCCTGATAATTCCTCATCATCCCCCTGATCATCACTGTCACTGCTCTGGAGTTTCGGCTCTAGTGGCTGTTCCTGCTTGTCTCTATTTCTAATGGTCATTTTGTGTGTCTTTTCCTTACATCTTACAGGAAGAACGTTCACATCATCAGCCCTATGTGTGGATTCTATCATCCATGCACTCCAAGCATCTCTTTCTAGTAGTCGTGTCATCTTTTTATGATGATCATACTAGAGGTCTTCCCAAGTCTTAGGTTTAAAAATACCTCTTTTAGAAAACTTCATTCCAGTCCAGTGCTCCCAATCATATATATATTTAACTACCCAGGGTCCATATTTACCGATCATCTCTTCCCTTGGGGTCAATTGATGGGGTGTTTACCATACTTAGACACCCTTTTTGAGTTGATATAGTTGCCCATTCTTTACGGATAAACGGACCCTGAAATTGTTTCCCAACCTTAAGCGGTTGCCCCAACCTTAAGCGGTTGCCCCCAGAGGTAGCTAATCTCTGGCCAATGATTGGGTTGACAGGTACCGCCCCTGTCACCGTTGCTGCTTTTCACTACTTCTCAGAACAAACTTTTAAATTTTTTCCTGTTCTGAATGTAGTCCTTCAAACAGCCTGGGGATCACCCGAGCTTGATAGTTCAATCCCCCCCGTGGACTTTTCTGAAGTATTCTAAAAGATTGCTCAGAGTAGAGCTATTATTACTTTTATTATTTCAAAAAAAATTAAAGCAAACTTGGAAAATCAAAAATTTATATGAGTGCTTGGAGTGCATTAGGCAGTTGATAGAGGCACAGCTACTGGCAGTATAGTTTGTGTAGTTACAATATAGCTGTTCACAGGTCTAAATATTCACTTACAATCCACAGTTAGTAAATTACAGAGGACAGATTCATACACAACAAGATCATTCCATGTGATTTAGGCCCCACAGGTGCGTTTCAATCGCAAAGATTGGGAAGCGTCTTGACCAAAATCTCATTCGAGAGTCAACTGAAAACCTTTTGGCAGAATGGCACAGATCCTACGTTTTATTTCACTGCCTCCAAGAATCCAGTCAGATCTCTTTCATGCAAACTTACTCTCTGCTGCAATAGGTGCACCGAGCAGTTAGGATGTTTCCTCATACACTCTCAGAACAAATTTATTTCAATTATACTGTTTGTAATCAGTCTCATCAAAAGTGTTAGTGCAGACAAAAGGTTAAAAAAAAAAAAACAATGTTCAAAGAAGCTTACTTGTCCAGGTGTTCAGACAGGGGAGACAGAGGTGAAAACAATCAAAGGCATAAATAAATACTTACCGTTCTGGAGTTAGAATTGCCTGGCTCAGCTCTGTCTTCCACACAAGATGTACCAATCACCCCAAACGGTCAGGCTTCCTCACCAAGGGGCACCAAATGTTTTGGCGGTTTTCCTCTCCCACACTTATTTACTTGGTTCTTATCGATTATAAATACAATAAGTGATTACAACCTTTTGCCCACAACAGAATCAGGCCTTGTTGCCTCTCTCTCAGTTGTAGATTATTTCTAACCAATAACCACTGTGCCAAATAAAAAGAAAAAGGAAATCTAATTTATTTATACAGAAGAAAAAAAAATAGTTACTAATATAATCAATCAATTGATATTACATGAGAAAAAATATTAGATGTTACAGTATAGAGAGATGACTATAAGAAAAGGAAGTTATAGAAAAGAAAAATAGAGCATGGCTGATACATTACAGACACCCTGATGTTGTGAGTCTGGCTCCTGGAGGCACACACGACAAAGAGCGAGTTTCTCCTTTGTAAAAGCTGTTTTATGCACTTTCCAAAAGACCATCCCAAGAACCACCCCACCCAAGTAAATCACACCTTTATCTTCCAATGGGTGGAGCTCCAGAGCAAGGCATCAGTTTAGTCAAAGAAAAACAGGAAATTCCAGTTGCCTTCCCCCTCACCTCCATTGAGTCTTTTGTGTAATCTCCCCCCCCCCCCCGGAGGTGTGTTGAGGTGATACAACAGATGGTAAATATGTTGCATAAATTGAGACCCCGAACAGAAGTACATAATAATATTAAAATTATTATAGGCCCAAAATAGCCACCACATCATATGTAATGAAATTCCTAATAAAACTATGGATAGGAAAACGTTTGCTGTCCCTTTTTAAGTGAAAAAATATTTACAGCTCAATACCCATAATTAGAAAAATTAAAATCAATACACATGATTATTAGACATAGACAATCAGTGAAACAGTTTTCATGATCATATGCCCATGCTGGGTCAATACCCTTAAAAAAAGTGCAACATCAATAACCACTATTGATAAAAATATATATCATCAAATTAAATAGTCAAAGTTCATATTAAATAAATTATATATATTTTTATCAATAGTGGTTATTGATTTTGCACTTTTTTAAGGGTATTGACCCACATGGGCATATGATCATGACAATTGTTTCACTGATTGAAACAATCAGGTTTGCATTATTCCAATTATTCATCAGGTTTGCATTATTCCAATTATGGGTATTGAGTTAATTTTCACTTTAAGGAACAGCAAACTTTTTCCTATTTAGAGTTTTACTAGGTTCAGTAACCCTTCAAATTGCCATCAAAATGACAACTCCCAGTCACACTATTTGTAAACAAACAGCCAGGGATTCCATTCATCCATACTAGACCCTAATCCTAGATGATGGTCTGCTATAGATGTTAATGGAGTACACCAACAAAATTAGTTACCCTATAATTTATACCAAGCCTTTCGCTGGTATGAATTTTAAAGCAAGAACCCTTTTAAAAAAGAACGGTATAAAGTTCCCCCAAAATTCCATACAAGATCCTTCTGGCCTGGTTATTGTGGGGGTTCTGCGGTCATGAGGCTTGTTGGAATCAGTATATCCTACTTTAATAATAAGGGGACCCACAGATACAATTCTCCCCATGTTAATGAGTAAGTGGTATATAGTACCTCTACTCTTTCTCAATTAAGAATGTAAATCATGAAAAACACACAGCTTTAATAAGTCCTTTATTAGTTTGTTCAATTAAAGGAAAAGTACAACCAATGCGCTTTTGGCTGTACTTCTGTGGATCACAGGAGTTCAGTTTTATGCACTCCTGTGACCCGTTTTCAGCTGACAGGGGGCTAAAGCATGCTGTCGGCTGACGTCACTCAGCCGGTCCACGCTGGGGAAAGATCCCGACTTTAAAGTCAGGATCCACCCCAGAGGCTGGAGTGGCAACTAGCTTAGCCGCTCAGGAACCTACTGAGAGCCTGAGCCATCTGATTCCTCCCCCATCACAGCCCAGTGCTCCAGTGAACGCAGGGGGAAGCAGTCAAACTGACAGTCACTGCTCTCTGCTCACAGTGCCGGTGAGAAACTCCACAATCAGTGGTCATGTGATCACTGAGTTCTCGCACTTAGAGCCTGCAGGGGACAACCTAGGTAAGTATAATTTGGGGGGGGGGGGAACAAACTTCTCTTTTAAGCTTTGACAATAAATCCGGGAAGCTGACTGATTTGTATTGAGGTGCACCAGATTTTGCACTTTCCAGTTTTAGTGTGACTGCTTGCCCTGGTGATATCATTGACCATATTTGTTTAATAAGCAAGCCTCAAGATTCTGCCTCCCTCATATGTGAATGATTAAGCGGCCTCCTAGGTGACATCATTGACCATATTTTGACATGACCACATTAGCTGTCATGCACTGGACCTGTCAGGATAATCAGTTGTCAGTATAATATAATGTCAGGCAACGTTTAACAGATGTACATTGTGGGACATTTTTTTTAAAGGCATGTCAAAAATTGTATGTTTTATACAGTTTTCATTTCTTGTTTTTTGCTCCTTACTAATTCACATGGGTGGGTAATCAAAATCAATTCCAACAAAAACGACCCAAAAGGTAGGCACAGTGGTTACCATTGGTGACAAATATTTTCTGGGCTGCAATGCCACAAAAGCAGTACTACATTCAAAATATTAATATTTTATTACTTAATATTGGTTAAAACAACCCCCAACGTGAATTCCAAGCAACAACAGGCATGAATAAAACAATTGAGAAACATGAATAGACAAAAAAGGCAGGACAAACAAAAAATAAAAAATAAACGTCCGGATGCATGTAGAGTCACTCATGGGTTCTGTACTGCAGCAACTGCTACATTTTTGATTAAGAAATCTCGTAATAGGTGTTTCCCATGTGTGAATCTTGGAAACCCTGTGGACTAACTGATGCTTTGGAGCCTCAAGTGCACTAAGATACAGAGGAAACTCAAAAAATTAGAATATCGTGCAAAAGTTCAGTTATTTCAGTAATGCAACTTAAAAGGTGAAACTAATATATGTGATAGACTCATTACATGCAAAGCCGTGACTGACGTTGGATCTACTTCGGGTGACATTGTTTTATTGCTTTTTTTGTGAATTAGTAGTGGTACCATGTACCGAAGACTCATTCACGTAGGGGGTGGGGGGTGGGGATATGGGGGCCCCCTTGTTAAAGGGGGCTTCCAGATTCTGATAAGCCCCCTGCCCGCAGACCCCCACAACCACCGGCCAGGGTTGTGGGGAAGAGGCCCTTGTCCCCATCAACATGGGGACAAGGTCCTTTGGGGGGGGAGCCCCCCTGCCCCAAAGCAACCCCCATGTTGAGGGCATGTGGCCTGGTTTGGTTCAGGAGGGGGGGCGCTCGCTCGTCCCCCCCCCCTTTCCTGACTTGCTGGGCTGCATGCTCGGATAAGGGTCTGGTGTGGATTTTGGGAGGACTCCACGCTGTTTTTTTTTTTTAAATTTCGGCATGGGGTTACCCCTTAATATCCACACCAGAGCCAAAGGGCTTGGTATGGATGGGAGGGGGGACCCCACGCTGTTTTTTTATTATTTATTTAATAAAGGAAATTATTTTACATTCAGCTGTCAGTGGGGAACCCCACTGACAGCTGAAACATTAACACACATGGTTGTCGCTCCTAAAATCCCGCATGAGTTATTTTATCAACTCATGCGGCGTTTTAGTAGTGAAAACCAATGCAGCGTTCATGTTTCAGCTGTCGGCGGAGTTCCCCACTGACAGCTGAATGTAAAAGTATTGCTGGGAATTATAAAAAAATTTAAAAAACTGGCTTGGGGTCCCCCCTCGCATCCATACCAAGCCCTTTGGGTCTGGTATGGATGTTAAGGGGTAACTCCACGTCGAAATTAAAAAAAAAAAAACAGTGTGGAGTTCCCCCCAAAATCCATACCGAAACCTTATCCGAGCATGCAGCCCGGCAGGTCGGGAAAGGGGGGGGGGGGCGAGTGAGCGCCCCCCCTCCTGAACCATACCAGGCCACATGCCCTCAACATGGGGGGTGCTTTGGGGGAGGGGGGCTCCCCCCCAAAGCACCTTGTCCCCATGTTGATGGGGACAAGGGCCTCTTCCCCACAACCCTGGCTGGTGGTTGTGGGGGTCTGCGGGCGGAGGGCTTATCAGAATCTGGAAGCCCCCTTTAACAAGGGGGCCCCCAGATCCCAGCCCCCCCCCACGTGAATGAGTATGCGGTACTCATTCACAAAAAAGCAAAAGTGTAGTGTAAAAAACCACAGTACAGGGTCTTTGACAAGTCCTTTAATAAAACAATGTCCCCCGAAGTAGATCCAAACGTCAATCACGGCAACCTGAAAAAAGAGAAAAAAAAAAAAAACGTTCCGCACTCGACGAGGCTTACCTGCCTTATGCAGCCAGTCTCGCTGACATGTCTTATATAGGTAAGGGGCGGGGCCAGCCGGGGACATCATCTGAGTGACCCCGCCCCATATGACATCATTGATGTCACATGGGGTGGGATCATGATTGATTTTCCTGGCTGGGCCTGCCCCTTACCTATATACTTGACATTAAAAAGTATAGAGGTTGCATCATTGTATCTATTTTTATCCATTTGGATATAGATGTTTTTAGTTGGATACAAATAGATACAATGTTGCAACCTCTATACTTTTTAATGTCAAATATAATAGCGCAGCTCTCTGCAGGGACAGAAGTAATTACTTCGCTATTATATTTGCCGGCCGTAGATGGGGCGAAAATCGGACAATTTTTTTTTACCGTTGGTGGTAAGGTCAGCCGATTGAACAACTGATTTTTTTTTTTTTTTTTTAAATGGCCGGTTTTCACCCCGTCTATGGCCTGCATTTTTCTTTTTCTTCTTTTTTTCTTCTTTTTCATTTTCTTCTTCTTCTGCAGGTCATGGCTCATGTGCAGATTTGCCCATCATTGCCACAAAAATCGGCCGATCTGCAAAATTATCCAAATTTATGCAGGCCATAGACGGGGAGAAAACTGGCCGTTTTTTTAACAAAAAAACAAAAAAAAACGGTCATTCAATAGGCCGACGTTACCACCAACAGTAAAAAAAATCGTCCGATTTTCTTTCCGTCTACGGCCGGCATTTAATTACTTCTGTCCCTGCAGAGAGCCCCGCTATTATATTTGACATTAAAAAGTATTGCGGTTGCAACATTGTATCTATTTGTATCCATTTCGGAAACAGTTGGTTTTTTTGAGCGAATCGAAGTATCCGAAGTGGAATTCGAGTCGAATATCTGAAAAATTTCGATTCGTGCCGAATCCGAAAAATAGCCTAATTCGGACGCGCGAATCGAAATTTTTCAGAAAATGGCGGCTGACATGTGCGGCGACGGAGCGGGATGTCTGGGAAGGCGCGCAGACAAGGCGCGCTGACCCATAATGCATGCCTCAACTACATGTGATCGCATCAGCCTATCAGCAGCCAGCCAGCCAGCACTGTGTAATGGTCGAGCTATAAATAGCGGCCATTTTGGAATTCTTCATTTGCCTGCAGTTATTGAACAGAGGCAGACCGCTCTGTACTAGGGACAGGGACAGAGTTAGGGCCACAGAAACGATAATTGGGGGACAGAGAAAAGTTACTTAGGGACAGAGAACCATTACTCAGGGACACAGACTTGTTAATGAGGGCCACAGAATCGTTATTTAGGGACAAAGAAACGCTAGTTAGGGCCACAGAATTCATAATCAGGGACAGACAGAATTGTTACTCAGTGCCAGAGAATTGTTACTTAGGGCCACAGAAACGTTATTAGGGCCACAGAATTGTTACTCAGGGACAGACAGAATTGTTACTGAGTGCCAGAGAATTGTTACTCAGGGACAGACAGAATTGTTACTGAGTGCCAGAGAATTGTTACTTAGGGCCACAGAAACTTTAATTAGGGCCACAGAATTTTTACTCAGGGACAGACAGAATTGTTACTCAGTGCCAGAGAATTGTTACTCAGGGACAGACAGAATTGTTACTGAGAGTGCCAGAGAATTGTTACTCAGGGCACAGAAACTTTACTTAGGGCCACAGAATTTTTACTCAGGGACAGACAGAATTGTTACTGAGTGCCAGAGAATTGTTACTCAGGGACAGACAGAATTGTTACTGAGTGCCAGAGAATTGTTACTTAGGGCCACAGAAACTTTACTTAGGGCCACAGAATTGTTACTTGCACAGACACAGAATTGTTACTCGCACAGACACAGAATTGTTACTGAGGCCACAGAACTGTTACTTAGGGCCACAGAATTGTTACTCGCACAGACACAGAATTGTTACTCGCACAGACACAGAACTGTTACTGAGGGCCACAGAACTGTTACTTAGGGACAAAGAAACGCTAGTTAGGGCCACAGAATTGTTACTCAGGGACAGACAGAATTGTTACTGAGTGCCAGAGAATTGTTACTCAGGGACAGACAGAATTGTTACTGAGTGCCAGAGAATTGTTACTTAGGGGGCCACAGAAACTTTAATTAGGGCCACAGAATTTTTACTCAGGGACAGACAGAATTGTTACTCAGTGCCAGAGAATTGTTACTCAGGGACAGACAGAATTGTTACTGAGTGCCAGAGAATTGTTACTCAGGGCCACAGAAAATTTTACTTAGGGCCACAGAATTTTTACTCAGGGACAGACAGAATTGTTACTGAGTGCCAGAGAATTGTTACTCAGGGACAGACAGAATTGTTACTGAGTGCCAGAGAATTGTTACTTAGGGCCACAGAAACTTTACTTAGGGCCACAGAATTGTTACTCGCACAGACACAGAATTGTTACTTTACTTAGGCACAGACATTGTTACTTACTGAAGAACTTTACTTAGGGCCACAGAATTGTTACACAGACACAGAATTGTTACTCGGGCACACAGAATTGTTACTGACAGAATTGTTACTCACAGACACAGAGTGCCACAGAATTGTTACTTAGGGCACAGAACTGTTACTTAGGGCCACAGAATTGTTTACTCAGGGCTAGAATTGTTACTGAGGCCACAGAATTGTTACTCAGGGACAGACAGAATTGTTACTGAGTGCCAGAGAATTGTTACTCAGGGACAGACAGAATTGTTAATGAGTGCCAGAATTGTTACTTAGGGCCACAGAAACTTTAATTAGGGCCACAGAATTTTTACTCAGGGACAGACAGAATTGTTACTGAGTGCCAGAGAATTGTTACTCAGGGACAGACAGAATTGTTACTGAGTGCCAGAGAATTGTTACTCAGGGACAGACAGAATTGTTACTGAGTGCCAGAGAATTGTTACTTAGGGCCACAGAAACTTTTACTTAGGGCCACAGAATTTTTACTCAGGGACAGACAGAATTGTTACTGAGTGCCAGAGAATTGTTACTCAGGGACAGAGAGAATTGTTACTGAGTGCCAGAGAATTGTTACTTAGGGCCACAGAAACTTTAATTAGGGCCACAGAATTTTTACTCAGGGACAGACAGAATTGTTACTGAGTGCCAGAGAATTGTTACTCAGGGACAGACAGAATTGTTACTGAGTGCCAGAGAATTGTTACTCAGGGACAGACAGAATTGTTACTGAGTGCCAGAGAATTGTTACTTAGGGCCACAGAAACTTTAATTAGGGCCACAGAATTTTTACTCAGGGACAGACAGAATTGTTACTGGAGTGCCAGAGAATTGTTACTCAGGGACAGACAGAATTGTTACGGAGTGCCAGAGAATTGTTACTCAGGGCCACAGAAACTTTACTTAGGGCCAGAGAATTTTTACTCAGGGACAGACAGAATTGTTACTGAGTGCCAGAGAATTGTTACTCAGGGACAGACAGAATTGTTACGGAGTGCCAGAGAATTGTTACTCAGGGACAGACAGAATTGTTACTGAGTGCCAGAGAATTGTTACTTAGGGCCACAGAAACTTTAATTAGGGCCACAGAATTTTTACTCAGGGACAGACAAATTGTTACTGAGTGCCAGAGAATTGTTACTCAGGGACAGACAGAATTGTTACCAGAGTGCCAGAGAATTGTTACTCAGGACAGACAGAATTGTTACTGAGTGCCAGAGAATTGTTACTTAGGGCCACAGAAACTTTAATTAGGGCCACAGAATTTTTTACTCAGGGACAGACAGAATTGTTACTGAGTGCCAGAGAATTGTTACTCAGGGACAGACAGAATTGTTACGGAGTGCCAGAGAATTGTTACTCAGGGCCAGAAACTTTACTTAGGGCCACAGAGAATTTTTTACTCAGGGACAGACAGAATTGTTACTGAGTGCCAGAGAATTGTTACTCAGGGACAGACAGAATTGTTACTGGAGTGCCAGAGAATTTTACTCAGGGCCACAGAAACTTTACTTAGGGCCACAGAATTTTTACTCAGGGACAGACAGAATTGTTACTGAGTGCCAGAGAATTGTTACTCAGGGACAGACAGAATTGTTACTGAGTGCCAGAGAATTGTTACTCAGGGACAGACAGAATTGTTACTGAGTGCCAGAGAATTGTTACTCAGGGCCCAGAAACTTTACTTAGGGCCTCAGGGACAGAATTTTTAGAGAATTTTTACTCAGGGACAGACAGAATTGTTACTGAGTGCCAGAGAATTGTTACTCAGGGACAGACAGAATTGTTACTGAGTGCCAGAGAATTGTTACTCAGGGCCACAGAAACTTGAATTAGGGCCACAGAATTTTTACTCAGGGACAGACAGAATTGTTACTGAGTGCCAGAGAATTGTTACTCAGGGACAGACAGAATTGTTACGGAGTGCCAGAGAATTGTTACTCAGGGACAGACAGAATTGTTACTGAGTGCCAGAGAATTGTTACTTAGGGCCACAGAAACTTTAATTAGGGCCACAGAATTTTACTCAGGGACAGACAGAATTGTTACTGACCCAGAGAATTGTTACTCAGCCACAGAATTTGTTACTGAATTGTTACTCAGGGACAGACAGAATTGTTACTGAGTGCCAGAGAATTGTTACTCAGGGACAGACAGAATTGTTACTGAGTGCCAGAGAATTGTTACTTAGGGCCACAGAAACTTTAATTAGGGCCACAGAATTTTTACTCAGGGACAGACAGAATTGTTACTGAGTGCCAGAGAATTGTTACTCAGGGACAGACAGAATTGTTACGGAGTGCCAGAGAATTGTTACTCAGGGCCACAGAAACTTTACTTAGGGCCAGAGAATTTTTACTCAGGGACAGACAGAATTGTTACTGAGTGCCAGAGAATTGTTACTCAGGGACAGACAGAATTGTTACGGAGTGCCAGATAATTGTTACTCAGGGCCCCAGAAACTTTACTTAGGGCCACAGAATTTTTACTCAGGGACAGACAGAATTGTTACTGAGTGCCAGAGAATTGTTACTCAGGGACAGACAGAATTGTTACTGAGTGCCAGAGAATTGTTACTTAGGGCCACAGAAACTTTACTTAGGGCCACAGAATTGTTTCTCGCACAGACACAGAATTGTTACTCGCACAGACACAGAATTGTTACTGAGGGCCACAGAACTGTTACTTGGGGCCACAGAAACGTTAATCAGGGACACAGAATTGTTACTGAGGGCCACAGAACTGTTACTTAGGGCCACAGAATTGTTACTCGCACAGACACAGAATTGTTACTCAGGGACACAGAATTGTTACTCAGGGACACATAATCGTTTAATTAAAGAGTATGTCAGACAACATGCAGAGGAGTGGCAGAGGAGGCAATGTTTTAGGAGCGAGCAGACGTGGCAGCAGAGGAAGGGGTCGAGGCAGCACTATTCGCAGCCAGAGGCCAGTGCTCCCGGTGTCATCCAGCGGTCGTGTCTCCACCGA